CTTAATTTAGGAAGTGAATAAAGTGGGAGGTTGCAAGTTAGGGACAGCGATATCTTTATATTATTTCCATAACTCAAGATTTGGACTCATTGCGGTTTATGTATTTTTATATTGTTTTGTTTTGTTTTTCAATATCTGGCAACGCCAGCATAACTGACAGTAATCAGAAATGACCAGGTTAAAAACAGCGCCGGCAGGTTATTCCTGAAAGGGTTCGGTAAAAGGCGGATTCGAACTCGGGTCGTTCGCGTCTAATACTCCACGGTGCACGTTTTAACAGCTACACCACTGAATCTGACGATTATGTGCCGTCTTTTATAATGTTGACTATCCCTACAACACATTTGTGGGTGGAACTACTGTAGATAGCCTCTATCAAAAAGGCGGGCTATTTGCACTTAGTGTAAAGTGGCAGGGACAAAAAATCCAGTGTCTTAAAACAGAAACACACAGAAATAGATTATTTGGGTGGAATTAATGATCTATAGCTAATACAGGAAAATATAAAAATATAACATCAGTGGTATAAAGAGGCATTTCTATTATTAAATGAATGTAAATAATTCTGTTTGAAGTCTTCAGCGTGTATTTTCTACTTAATGAATATTACAAGAGGTCTATCTGAAATGCTCTCTTCGAACATTTTTAAAATGTCTATTTTTTTTAGGAGCAAAAGATATTCTTCAAACCCCTACTGGAGTAAAACAGTATAGTTATTTTAAACGGTCATGGTACAGATGTCTGCAAATACAAAAAGGCAAATAGTTCCTAGGATCTGAATGCGTTTGAATGATTCGTCTGTCTGAGTCGCTGTGTGTTATTATGTAGTAAACAGCGCCACCCAATGGTTGAGTGATATATAGCAGCGGTTGAAAATGATTTGTGGGTTTGGACTCTTATTTTGAAATTGACCGGATGTTGTCGTTTCGCTTGTACGGAGTCTGCGCGCGGACTGCGGACGCGTAGAGTTTGTGGAAAACGCTTCTGTGATTCTTCCGTGTTTTTATAAACTGTTCTCAACGCGGCTGTCGGTCTTAGGTATGTTATTAGTCAAAGTTAGTGTTTATGTGTGTCTGTACTGTTTGTTTACACAATAAGCGGCTTTTTATCTAACAAGTTGTTTCCAATTCAGACCCAATCAAATGTAAATCTATGCACAAACCTACCATGATTATTACCACGTTTTCTAGTACAATGTAAATATCATAGTATGTGAGTAAATATAGTAACAAATGTTATTTAACTATAACTATGTTTAACAAAATAACTCAACATCTCAACAGTATCTTTTATGAAACCGCGCTATCAAGGATAAGAGCTTCACATAATTTAATGAATTGAAGTAACGTTAGATATCAAACATATCAAAATATGGATTCAGTTCCGTATATACAAATAATACAGGCATAATCTGGGGAAAAAACAAGCCTTGTCCATTATAGGGAATAATATTTAGAGATGTTTACAGTTGGTTTGATACCTTTAGATCAAATGTTGTTGTCGTTTAATGGATTTATAATATTGCATACATTAAAGGCTGTAAAATTATTATAAAACACATAAAATGCTAATTCCAAAAACAGCCTTGTGCAATAAAGGGGATGTCATGTAGTTGAATTGTTTAATTAATGTATATGGTTAATTTATATATACAGTGGGTACGGAAAGTATTCAGACCCCCTTAAATTTTTCACTCTTTGTTATATTGCAGCCATTTGCTAAA